ATTTTATAAAAAAAAGCCAATATATATATATATATATATATATTCACCATTATTCATTGTGTTACCAAGCCTACGGTACCTGGGGCCCAAATTATATTCTTTAATGCTATAATCCACATATAGTACAATAATTTAGTAACTATACTATTATAACTTTTAAAATAAAAATATTAACAAATAATGTCTTTCTATAGGCTTTACTGGTCATTTGACTGAGTTGCAAGGAAGGTGGCTTTATTTCACCCTTAACCCTATTTTAAAGTTTTTAGCACTCATCAACCACTTTACTAAAATGTGTTAAAAATTTGCTAATACATTTTCAAACTATAAATAGCACTTTCCTGGGTTCTGCCTGTCATAAATTTCCATTTTACTATTTACCCTTAGTGGGTGTAAATATTTGCAAGGAGAATGAAATAAAAATTAAGACTGAATGGACCTGCTAAGCAGATGGTGCTTACTTCACTGGCCTACTTACTTAAATTAAACATTGATACAGTGCTGTGGTAGGGCTTGTCATTTATCTGTCATTTCATCCTCGCCTCAACATAAAGCAAGTACATTTTGCAGACAGGTAAGATCTTACTGTGCCAATGCTTATTGTAAGTGCAAAGAGATTTACAGCCCGAACTAGCAGGTAAATAAACAGCTTGTGCAATGGAGTGGAATTAAGTATCCAGCCACAGACAGAAAGCCAATGCTTTACAAATGGGAATGCTGGGGCCCAGCTGCCAATGGCATCTACATGAAGCTCCTTAAGTACTATTACTCACCAGTCTCTCCAAATACAGTTTGTTATCCCCACCTTAAGTGGTTCCTTCTAGTTTTGCTTCTGCATTAGGCATGATGAATGCATTGCAGGCACTCTATGGAAAAGTTTAAGCTATAGAGAAGCCACAGAAACCTTGACTGATTCATACAAAGTTCATCATGGTTTTCTGACTCTTCAATGGTACTCACCTACATAAGCTTCCTCTTCTACTGGCAAACGCAGCGACATGCAAAGGTAAGTATCAGACTACGAGGAAGGACAGAAAAAGTAGAGTACAGAAAATGTTAGGGTTTTTTTCTCCTTCAAAAGTTAAAATAACAAGAGGAAATAATCATATCTGTATAACTGTTTTTGAAGTACAGCCAGAACTATTTGCTAAATGAAAATAAATCCAGCTAAGGAAATGAAAACATGTCTTTCTTTTAATTCCCTATCTGATAACGCTTATGGTTACTTTTTACCTGACCAGGGATAATATATGTATATACAGGAACCCAAATATATTAATCAGTGAGAGCTAGAATTGGTATTCTAGGATATTATACTTTTCTTTATGTTCAACCACACTGTTAAGCCAGTTCCAGAAGCAGATAACAAGCACACATGCATGTACACACACATATTCAGCTATTTAACTGAATGTTAAACATTTAAGTTAAGAGACATTTAGATTACATCTGCAGCAGTCAGCACTGCAGTTCTGCAATGGGACTGTGAAAGAGTGCATGGGAAAAGTGCATGGAAAGCAAGCATATATCCTTCTCCTATCACAGCAAGGAAATTCAGGCACCATGTTGTGATAGGCTGAAAAACATATGATGGCATGTAATTAGTCAAATAATTAAAAAAAAAAGTTTCCCATGCAAATATTTACTTGGAAATAAATGAGAATAAACCAAAACCATGCTGTATTATAACCTAAATGTAATTCAAAGTCTTTCTGCAGATACATACTTTATATATATATCCAAATCAATACTGTAGTGCTTCAAACCAAAATACATCTTCTTAAGCCACCATTTTGTACTTTATTGACTCTTATTTTTCTACAACAATAATGCTGTTAAACTATATATTCTAGCTATAGAGGATACATAAACTGGAAACCACTAATAGTGTCAGTACACCCCTCATTCCAACAAATGTTAATGAAAATTAATCAATAGACTATTTTCTTTTTAGGTAAGTGCTGGGAAACATTACTCAAGCCAGACATGGTTCTGTAACAGTCTTTGCACAGACTGGGACATGACAACCCTGAACTGATTACTTCAGTAGTCCCAGAAGATATAGCTTGCCTGCAGTGATACACAAGACACCTACAGGCAAATTTTCTTTTATTTTAGGAAATTTTTTGATAATTCAGTAGCCCTAAGTTGTTAGTGTTTCGAACAAAAGCCTTTGCTAAAAATCAGAGAAACTCAACTCATATTACAAAATTAAGATACAAGCAAATATTAAGTCCAGTTTATTTTAAAGCCTCAAAATACTGTATTAAATGATTTATAAACAAATATCTTGGATTTTACAAACATTTAGAAATTTCTTTTCAAAAGATATATTTAGCAATAGAGGCGAATATGCATAGCTCAGGATTGAACTGTGGAGTCCTTGGGGTTCTCTGAGTTTGGTTCTTTTCTTGCAAACGTTTCATTACCCGGCTAGGT